GAAGATCGATCCTTCCTTCCTTCCTTCCTTCCTTCCTTCCTTCCTTCCTTCCTTCCTTCCTTCCTTCCTTCCTCCCTCCCTCCCTCCTTCCTTTCTTCCTTCCTCCTTACCTTTATGCCTCCCTCCCATTTCTTCCCTCCTCCTTCCCTTTATTTTTCCTTCATCCCTCCTATTTTTTCCTTCTTCCCTTCCTTATACTCCATTTTTCCTTCTTCTCTCCCATTTTTTCCTTCCTTCCTTCCTTCCTTCCTCCTTCCTTCTTACCGTCTTTATTCTTCATTCCTTCCTGCCTCCCTCCCATTCCTTCCCTCCTCCTTCCCTTTATTTTTCCTTCATCCCTATTTTTTCCTTCCTTCTTCCTTCATTATACTCCATTTTTCCTTCCTTCCTCTCTCCCATTTTTTCTGTCTTTCTTTCCTTTCTTCCTTCCTTCCTCCCTCCTCCTTTCCTTCTTCCCTTATTTTTCTTTCATCCCTCCTATTTGTGCACAAGCCAGAGGTGGTATTTGCCAGTTCTCTGAACCAGTCAAAATTTTTGCTACCGTTTCATTCGAACCAATCCAAACTGGCTGAATGCCACCTCTGGCTTGTGCACATCCCCACAGCAACCTGCCTCTCCTGGATGGATGGTGCACTCCAGCGGCTTTTCCCAGGGCGGCAAGGAAGGGTACGTATCCAGGAACCAAGACAGCGTCGTTCTATTGGGGTGGAATGCTGGTGTTTTCTCTGGAGGATACAGGAACCAGTGCTGGGGGAGACAGATTTCAAGTGGTAAGGAGCAAGCTTTATACCTCTGCATGATATTTCCGTACATCTATTCCAATATGGCGGCATCGAGATGAATCAAACCCTTGAAATACCCATGATACAAATCAAAGGATTCTCACTGCCACCATCATCTTCCTCCAATCACTCAGAAATCTAGCTTCCCTCTGTCCCCCAATGCTAAATTTTTCAAGTCATTTTGAACTTTAATATACTATAGGGCAAGGGTCTTCAAACTTGGCAAGTTTTAAGACTTGTGGACTTCAATTCCCAGAATTCCTGAGCTAACATGACTGGAGGAGGAATTCTGGGAGTTGAAGTCCACAAGTCTTCAACCTATCAGGTTTGAAGACCCCTGGGATTAGACATGTTTCTTAAGCTAAGCAGCTTTGAGATGGGTAGACTTTAACTCCCAGAATTCCTCAGCCATGAGAATCAGGATAGGATTCTTCTCTTCTGGTATAGGGCCTCCTGCTTGAAGGGGGTTGGACTAGAAGACCTTCAAGGTCCCTTCCAACTCTGTTATTCTGTTTCTTTCTTCTGAGGGGCTTTCTCCGCTCCCATTCCTTCCGTGGGCTGGGATTTCTCTGATCAACTGTAGCTGTCTAGGCTGCAGCATCTTCCTCCTGTCTCCCAAGGTCCTTCTCACATCCTATAACAGATGGGTATCTAAATTTGTGGGGCAACGCCTTGTTGGGGCACTCACCTTCCTCCCAAAGATGACCTCTGAAAAGCCAGGCCCGTGCCAATGAAATGGCACTCCGGAACCAGAGCCTGAAAGGGATTGGAAAAGAGAGAAAAAGGAGGAGGAATTAAATCCAGCGTGGGAATTGCATTGCTCCTTATACCAATGACCTGGAGCAGAGTCCAGAATTCCCAACTAAGACAGAAAGACGCTTCAGAAAGCAAAGCCTTCTGACCACGATATGGAAGATCTTGGTGAATCCTGGGCTCAGACCAAAAGGTCACTGGCACATGACCTCAAGCTGTGGAATCTGGTTCTTCATAGGAACCTACCCGAATCCAATATATTAGACCTGCTGGACGGAGCTGATATCAACTCATAAAATATTTCTATGGTCTTTTTAGTGTAGCCAACAGAAAGGGAGGGGGGAGCAGTGTGGCAGCTTGCAAACCAAAAGTGCATTCCATCAATGTTTTCAAAGATAGTAACTAGGTGACTGAAGTTTCTGCCGTGCAAATATCTAACTGGAGAGCATGATTGATGGCTCTGGGGCTATGGATGTGTCCCATTGGAGAATATGAATTACGATACACTCAGGGGGTGGGGCAAAACCAGGGCCAAGGGTGACAATGAATGACGTGTCTCAGAGTCGGCTATACCCAGGCAGTGCTGGCATGCTTACTCCTAATAAATCTTTTAAGTTTTGGAAGTTTGGCTCGAGACTCATGATTTAAATGGGGGTAACTGCCAGAGCCCTGACAGCTGTCCTATCAGCACCATGGACCTCTGTGACCTTGTGAAATTGCCACATGACATATACCAGCATGGGTGACTGAATTCATAGAAGGCTGGCCCCCTTGAGGACTCTTAGTTTGTTTCTTCTATGTTTTTTTAAATTTATTTATTGGATTTATATTTGCTGCTTATTGGCCCATGGCTACTCGAGGCGGCTTACAAGGTATCAAACTACATTTAAAACAGTAAAACTAGCTAAAAAAATCAACTAAATTAATATAATAAAATCACCCCCCCCCCACCTCCCACCCCTCCCAGTGACAGCAGTTCACACTAGCCACCTGATGGGCTCCATCCTGCTCTGGGTTCCCCAGGCCCGCTGGCAGAACCAGGTCTTCAGCATCTTGCAGAAGAGAATTAGAGCGGGGGCCATTCTAATCTCTGAGGGGATGATGCTCCAGAGAGAGGGAGCCACCATGGAGAAGGCCCTTCATCTGGGTCCCACCAGGTGTTATCTCTCTCTGGGATGAGACCCGCAACATTCCCTGCCTCCCCACTCTAATGGGTCAGGTAGATGTCACCGGCAAGAAACGGTCCCTCAGATAACCCAGTCCCAAGCCATGAAGGACTTTACAGGTGACAACCAGCACCTTGAATTGCACCCGGAAGCAAATCGGCAACCAATGCAGCTCCAGCATTGGACAGGTGATACATATTGGAAATAATATGACCCTCAAGACCAGTTGCAAGGGAGGTGTAGATCAGGGGTCCCCAACCACCGGTCCCCGGACCAGTACCGGTCCGTGGATCATCTTTTACCGGGCCGCAAAGCTTGGGCACCGCCATCTTGTTTCAATGGCGCTTCCGGGTTTTTGGTTGCTTCCGGGTTTTCGGTTGGAAAGCGGCGTTTGGGTGCTCGCGCCTTAGTTTCGTCGAAGAGCGGGGGGCGGCTTCAAACAAAGAGCCGTCCCGATGGCGGTAGAGCCTCGCGTTACTCAGGTACCGGTCCGTGGAAAAATAAATAATCGTGAAACCGGTCCCTGGTTCAAAAAAGGTTGGGGGCTACTGGTGTAGATGATCTGGCTGAGCCCGATGGAGGAATCAAATGTGTCATCAGTCTCGAGTCCCCAGGTGCCCACAAGAGATCTAAGTCCAGACCGTCTTGAATTCTGTTCTTATCTATCATACCACCAACTCGCTTTGACTGTTAGTAGTTCAGATTCTTGTAGAGAGCTTTAACGTACCGTAAGCCTACAGTTTAGACTTTTGAATTGTCTGGACCTCTGATTTCCTGCGCTGGATATGAGCAAAGGCAGAAAGGGAGGAGACGTCTCCGCCTCTAGATAGCACCTGATTGGCCCTGGATGAAGATAGACTTCATGGGACCCAAGTGAACACCCAATGACCCTATTTTTAGTTTTTTGGCAGGGAATCCACACATGATCCTTTTTGGTGATAGTCTTGTATCTTTGGAACTAAGGAGGCATACAGATTTGGCCCTAAGAAAGAGCCAAATTGTGGAGAGCAATTGTTGGGGGTAAATAGCTTAGAGAGGGCTGTAAAGCACTGTGAAGCGGTATATATGTCTTAATGCTATTGCTATACACAGTCCTAGAAAGAAGACGAAGCTACAAAACCAACATTGTTGGTTGAAGGTGCCCTATGAAGGTGTTAAAACATCTCCTGACGATCACCAGCTACTGACCTCCAATCCCAAAACTGTATGCTCCCGTGGTGCCTGGAATCCTGAATGGTGGTGGGTTGTATTTCTTGAAGAGGGACCCCCATTCAGTGAAATTATTGTCTCCAAAGAAGTAGAGGGTTTCTGCAGGAAAGAAGGGGGGAAAAAGAGAAGTTAGTAGTTTGTCCCAACAGATCCTTTGAGTGCTGGAGGCCAAAACCGGGGACTAAACTGGTTTGCAACTGCAACCTTTCTTGTCTCGGTATCTTCAAGGGGAAAAAAAGAAATGTGGGAGAGAATATCATTTGCCAGGGAGATACTTTATCCGTAAAGAAAACAACTGCAATCAAAACAAAGATAAGGGAAATCTTGAGTCCGGACTAGAAATGTACTTTGAGAAAGCGTCTCAGATATAGATTTCTATCCCATCTTTATTACTTTATAAGTAACTCAAACCTACAACTTCTTCCTCTGCCTGTTTCGCACGCCCCACAACAACAACCCTGTGAGGTGGGTTGGGCTAAGAAAGAGTTGATCGACCCGAAGTCACCCAGCAGGCTTTCACGCCCAAAGCAGGACTACAACTCATGGTCTCCTAGTTTCCAAGCCAGCACCTTAACCACTATACAAAATTGACTCTCGTTCTTCTGAAATTAAAGGAAAGGAAGGGGAAAAATGCATTCAGAGTTGGAAGATCTGTTACTGTAATCCTATCCTAAAAAGTAGCTGTCATAGTCATAATTTTGGTATTCGGGGCTAGACTACACATAGTCCTCGAATTACGACCACAATGGAGTTCCAAAAGTTCTGTTGCTAAGTGAGACCTTTGTGAAGTGAATTTTTTTCCCCCTTTTACAACTTTTCTTGCCATTGTTAAGTGAATCACTGCAGTTCTTAGTATCGTGGTCGTTGAGTGAACCTGCCTTCCCCATTGGCTTTGCTTGTCAGAAGGTCGCAAAAGGGGCTCATCTTATTCTGGGACACTTGCAACCGTCCTAAATGTGAACCAGTTGCCAAGCGTCTGAATTTTAATCATATGTGTCAACTAAAAAAAATACTTCTTTGGTCTTTTTCGTTGCCAGCAGAAAGAGGGGGGGGGGAAGCAGTGCATTCCTCAAATGCTTCAGATAATTGCTAGGCAGCAAAAGCTGTTGGCGCGCAAGACTATTACTGGAGAGGATGATTGATGACTCTTGGCTAGGGATGTGTCCCGTTGGAGAATATACATCCGGGGGGTGGGGGGAAGACTAGAGTTAAGGGGGAAATGAATGATGTATGTTAGTGTCAGCTGCAGCCACGTAATGCTGACATGGTCACTCCTAATAAATCATATTTTTTTAACCTCTGAGAGATGTGGCTAGAGACTTATGATTTGAATGAGGGTGGATTTGTTCGAGCCCTGACAACATGATCACGGGGATGCTACAGTGGTCGTAAATATGACAAATGGCCGTAAGTCACTTTTTCCAGTGCCGTTGTAACTTTGAACGGTCACTAAATGAACTGTTGTAAGCTGAGGACTCTCTCTCCTCACCCTTGAAGAGCTGACATCCACTGATTCTGGTCTGTGGAATCCAGGCTGAGTTTGGGTTGCCATAGATCAAGGAAGCATGGAGATCTGAGAATGTCGAGGCGTAGTTACGTCCTACTCACCACTTCCTAGGGAAGCCATATCCTGAGGTTCCAGCAAATGATCCACATAATCTTGGAAGGGTAGATCAACTGCATCAAAGGAAAAGCTGGTAAGGACTCAATGCTGTGCAGTCTTTTAATCTGAGTTTTTGTACCATGCTCAGCAGAATAAGGAGTGTTTTTTTTTAATGAGGACATCGTAAAAGATGAGGGTGGAATCAAATGCATCATCAGTTTGGAATCGTTACATTCCCAAAAGAGACCTAAATCCAACCACCAGTAAGAACTCAATGCATCTTCTGCCAAAGCTGTGCAATCTTTTAATCCAACTTTTTGTACCATGCTCAGCAACAACAAGAGCTATTTTTACTAAGGGTGTAGGATCAGAGGTGGTGTTCAGCAGGTTCTGACCAGTTCTGGAGAATCAGTAGTGGAAATTTTGAGTAGTTCGGCGAGTCGGCCAATCCCACCTCTGACTGGCCCCGCCAACCCCATCTCTTCTCTGTCTCCCATTGAGTCCAGCTGATGGGCTGGGTCTCCTTTGGTTTCCTGTGGACCACCAGTGGTCCCCGGCCCACTGTTTGGCGACCGCTGATCTAAACGGTCACGAAATGAAAGTCGATGGCTACCTGTACTTTTGAACCTCTATCCCATTCCTTGGTTTCCTGCGTCTAACAGGTGTGTAAAATTGCGTCTCCGTGTACCAGCTGCACTCTCACCTCAGCTTGGAGCACAATTGGGGAAGTTTTTTCCTCCCCATCCTCACCTTTGCGGTAAGAGTAGGTGTTGGCGGTACTGAGACGAACCAGGTGTTCTCCAAACCTGGCCAGCAGGTGATCTTTGGTGCATTGAGTCTGGAATTCCTGTGAGCACAGAAGGGAATCAGAATGGAGAGGCACCTCCAATTTTTAAAGCCTCCTCCCCGCCCCCCCAAATATTATTTTTTCCTGACTGCAAAACAAGATTGCGCTGGCCAGAGTCCATGTGCAATACAACCACAGGGTAGTTCAACTCTGGGAATTACAGGTAATCCCTTATGGCCGTATCCCAAATGTGCTTTTTTTTTTTTTTTTTCAAGAGGCAACTGGACTTTCTGGTTTTTCTTTGAAGGCGTTTCGCTTCTCATCCAAAGAAGCTTCTTCAGCTCTGACTGAATGGTGGGGAATGGTAATAGAGAAAATAATGGAATGAGCCAAAATGGACAGGTTAACAATGGAAATTAAAGACAAAGGAGAAACAGAGTATTACCTAATATGGAACCTGTGGTACAATTGGCTGGACAATAAAGGTTAGAAAATGGATGACGAAAGAGGAACACACTAGAAACAAATACAGGTATGAAACTATATAGAAGGATACATATTGGAAGCAATATTGGGACTAGATTGTACATAATTGCAAATCAAAATATATAGAGTGATAAATGCATAGAGAAGTATCTTATAACCATGGATACAAAAGTATGTTGTATAATATCGAGTTTTTATTCTTTTTTCTATGGACTATACTGTATGAAAAAGAGAAAAATGGTCGTAACTAGGATGTATAACGTGTATATTTTTTTAAAAGGTGTTGATACATATAGTTGTTCCAAAATTGAAATTGCAGTGTAAAATGAAGGAAAGTGTGCACAATAAAAAAAAAACTTTTTAAAATAAAGGATTTATACTCCTTGCAGACAGCTGGTCATTTGTATTCTTTTAGAGGGCGTTGAGGCCACTTGGAGGTTTATCTGTGTCGAGGACACAGTGTGAAGCCTTCTTGGAACTGCTGCAGATAAAACTCCAAGTGGCCTCAGCGACTCTCCAAAAAGGATGCAAACGACCGGCTGTCTGCAAGGAGTATAAATCCTTCCATTCCCCACCACCGTCAGAGCTGAAGAAGCTTCTTGGATGAGAAGCGAAACATCTTCAAAGAAAAAACAGAAAGTCCAGTTGCCACTTGAAAAACAAAAAAAAGCATTTTTGGGACAAACCATGATTGGAGGACTGAAAATCTCCATAGACCTTACGACCATAATTGACCCTGGAATTGAGGCATTAAGTGGGTCATCCCACGATGGACTCCATTTTGCAATTGTTAATGAATGTGTCAGTCATTAAACGAGCCCATTGCTTGCAATGGACATTTTATTTTATTTTTTGCAGGAAAGTAAACACTGACTGCCACCCAAAAAAAATGTAACTGGCGCTCGGATAACCTCAGAATGCTGGGTAATGAGTCACTCAACAAGCGCTTGGCTTCTGGTCCCAATTGTGGTTGCAACTACGTGGATTATCTGTATTTATGGTTTGGAGCCCAGCGGGCTCTGTTGGTGTGTGGCCGAGTGATTTCCTCAGACAATTAGGAGGATTTAGAAAGTCGCTGTTAAGAAAACCACAAGATTGCAGGCCCTGTAAATATAACACTGCTGTGTCTACCTGTGCAATAAATTTCTCCCTTTGATCATACTCAGAAATATTTATGGAGAGAGCCTGGGATCAACATTCAGGCTTCGCAAAACGGCTTCACAGCCCCAGACTGATCACTTGACTTTATTAATTCATGCCCTATATGAAGTGGTCTCAAAAAGATAGTCTCAAAAATATTGACCTCCTACCGCTGCACCCTAGAGAGCATCTTAACTTACTGCCCCTGTGCATGGTTTGCCAGTTGCACTGTGGCAGATAGGACAGTGCTCCAGAGGGTTAATGTCATTGCCCAGAGGTTCATGGGTTGCCCTCTCCCCTCTTTGGAAGAGCTTTATAGCTCCTGCCGCCTTAAGAAAGTTCAAAGCATCCTCAAAGATCCGTCTCATCCTGGGTACCTTTTTTTTTTTTGAACTATTACCATCTGGCAGACGGTACAGGATAACAAAAACAAGGACAAATAGGCTGAAAAACAGCTTCTATCCCAGGGCAGGAACTCTATTGAATTCTATAGTGCAATATTAATGCAATATCAGGGGTTTTCCATTCAGTGTATAGAATGTGAAGGGTGTGTGTTTGTGTTTTATTTTTATAGTTATAATGTACACTGAGGATGGCATTTAATTTAATTGCACCTCATGCAATGAGTTCATTGCACAATAAAGTCAGTAAACTAGTGGCTTAAAGAGATTAGGATGGTTCCAACCTGGAACTAAAGAGAAATTTCCTGACAGTGACAATTAACCAGCGGAATAGCTTTGCCTTCAGAAGTTGTGGGTCCTCCATCACTGGAGGCTTTTAAGAAGAAACTGGACAGCCACTTGTCTGGAATGGTGTAGGGTCTTCGGCCAGAGCAGGGGGTTGGACTAGAAGACCTCTAAGGTCCCTTTCAGCCTTTTGATTCTGTGGTATTTCACCCAAATTTATAATGCAGGGAACACTCACGGTATTGTCAGTTAATCCCTGAAGAATTACCGGCCTGGAGAAGGCATACCTAGGAGGAGGAGGAGAGGAGGAGGAAGGGATGGAGGCGTTGGAGGAGAAGGGGGAGAAGGAGGCAGGAACAGGAGGAGGAGAGGGGGAGGAGAAGGAGGAAGGAAGAGGAGGGGAGGAAGGGATGGAGAAGTTTGAGGAGAAGGGGGAGGAGGAAGGGAGGAAGAGAGGAAGAGGAGGAGAGGAAGAAGGAGGGAGGGAGGAAGAGGAGGAGGAGGAGAGGGGAAGGAAGGGATGGAGGAGTTGGAGGAGTTGGAGGAGGGAAGAAGGAGGAAAGAGACAAGAAGAAAGAGAAGATCATTGTAATAGCATTATGGATTACAGTATAAAACTGCAGGACAAAGGCTTTGAATTATGAAAGCTTTTCAGGGTGAGGAAAGCAAAGCCCCAGGAAATACGGTTCTTTCTCCACCACTTTGATGTGGTCTTTGACATGAAGCTGCATCCTGCGGATAATCGCTTAGCACCTCCCAAAGAAGCAGACCTGCTATTTGCAGCTTCGACTTTTCTACAATCTGCTCCTCCCTTAATTTCTTTTCTGTTTGTTTTTGTTTGTTTAAATCAGCGTGCATTTGCATTTGAGATCACTTGCCCGTACTGCTCAATAACATTGGCTTCTGGTCTCCTACGAAGGGCTGATGGAAAAGGCAGAGGAGAATTTCAAATGACTATTTAGAAGAGAAGAGAAGAGAAAGAGAAAGAGAAAGAGAAAGAGAAAGAGAAAGAGAAGAGAAGAGAAGAGAAGAGAAGAGAAGAGAAGAGAAGAGAAGAGAAGAGAAGAGAAGAGAAGAGAAGAGAATTCTTCATTGGCCAAGTGTGATTGGACACACAAGGAATTTGTCTGGATGCAAATACTCTCAGTGTACAGAAAAGAAAAGATGCATTCGTCAAGAGTCAAGAATCATGGGGTATGACACTTAATGACTTATGCCTGACTCTTATTTTAAAGGTTCCAGGAGTTTGCCATTATGGAGGCTCTGATAAAGAGCCCAAGAAACAGTTTTAAGTAACCGAAGAGTTAAATAACTAAGAGCTTGTGCAGTTGACTCTATCAAAAGATGGCGCTGTCTCATTTGTTTGTTTTTAATTCCTTCTTGCAAAGAAATAATAATAATCTGGAACCAGTGCCTGCTGCCACCTGGTGGTGGAAAAAGCAGCAAGCTGGATCATTTGCCATCACTTAACTATTGAATTTTTATTTTGTTTTGTTTTGTCTTTTAATGATGCCGAAATCCCTTGTGGGGTGGAGTCGGGGAAACTGAATGGAGCTGAGTGTTTACTGGCCGGATGTCGCCAATGCTGAGTTTTGTTCAGCAGATATATCCTCATTGACCGAGAGAGAGAAAAATACCTGTCGCTACCTAGGATCAAACTCACAGCCTCCTGATTGTGAGGCGAGAGCTCCATCTATAGGCCACCGCACCAGTCCCATCACTTAACTGTTGAATAAACTGCTCATAAGTTAGGGAGGAGTCTCTTCTCTCCACCGTACAGCTCCCGTCGTCCGACAATGCAGCGTGCCTGCTTGTCAGCCTGCAGGCACAAAAAAACAGAAAAGCTTGTGTTTCATCAGGGATATACAATTCTTTTAAAGGTTTCATAAGTTGACTTTCTAAACTTTGTTCACAGCAAGAATTAACTGTACCACTTCTGATTCTGGAAAGAAGCACCCAGAATAGAATGTAAAAATAAATTTGTTGCAAAATGGGACGAACTTATCAAATATGACAGACAGGAATTCTGGGTATTAAGTTCCGCTAGAACTTCAATGCCTTGTTATGCTGAGATACCATAATTTATGTTGCATTGAGTCAGTCTTTTTTAAAACTTGGCAACTTTAAGAGGGGTGGACTTCAATTCCCAGAATGCCCAGGTGTTTGGGGGGGGAACCCTGGGCGTTGTAGTTCACCCATGTTGTCTGGGGAATTCTGGGAGTTGAAGTCCATCCCTCTTAAAGTTGCCAAGTTGAAACCACTGCTTTAGAAAAATCCATGCACTTCATTCATTCACTCACTCACTCACTCACTCATTCATTCATTCATTCGTTCATTCAATCAATCATTTTTTATGATACCCATCTCCCCTAAAAAGTGACTCTTTCTGTTTTTTCCTCAGTAGATGCCTAACTCACCAGCCTCCGTCTGTTTCTAGCAGCGTGAAACTCCCTGGGAACCAAAAGAACATGGATAAGGGTAGAAAAAGTAGGAGTTCGGACTTGGTCTCCATGGGTTGCAAGATTCTACAAAACCAAATCCTTCCTTCGGGTGATTCTCAGCAAAATAGCCGGGTATCTTGAGAAAAGGTTAGAAGACGGTCCAGCATGGAAGCGCAAATCTTCTGAAAAGAGGTAAAGAAAGGAAGAACATTAAAAGAAGCAGAAAACCAGGGATGAAGATCTTCTCACGCGGTGTTTCTCCTAAGATGTGTGGACTTCAACAGCTTCTGGCCGGAGAATTCTCGGAACTGAATTCCACACATCTTAAAGTTGCCGAATTAAGAAACACTGTTCGACTGATGATATTACCTAGTTTGGTCGTGGAACGTCTGCAAAAAAAAAAAAAAGCAACCATCTCAGCACCAAGGATCTCCAATCTCCATTTTGACCCCACATTCCCTGTGAGAGATGAAAGGAAAGGTCTCTAAAAAAAAGACTGGATCTCTGTTGATCGAGGATCACTTCAAATGGACACCAGCGACAATGCCATAGAATTCCTCGGAGGAATCAACTAAAATTGTACAGTAGAAGAAATGATGCTGTTACCCAGTTGGGTAATAAAACGTTTGAAAGAAAACCACCAAGGTCAGAGAGCAATAAGGAACCCATAGTCTTCCTCCTCCTCCGCTCTGCAAATGCCACTCCCTTCTAGCACTGATGTTGTTACCTAGTTGGGTGATGAAATGTCTGCAAGAAAAGAACCAAGCTCAGAGACCACCAAGGACCCCACAGATTCGAGGTAAGTTGGTTGAAACGCTATGCTTAGTTTTAAAAAAATCCTCTCAATCCAACGATCTGCGCTGAGTCTCTAAAACAAGATGGCCACCAACTAGGATGACAGAGGGTGACTTCGACTTAACCTGTTGGGGGTTGGGGGTGGGGGGCAAATAAAGCCTCAGGACCCCAAAACCTTGATTCTTCCCCCCAAAATCTCTGTTGATCGAGGATACCACTTCCAAGGGACACCACTGACTGTGCCATAGAATTCCTTGTAGCAATCAACTAAAACTGTACCGTAGAAGAAATGATGCTGTTACCTAGTTGGGTAATAAAATGTTTGCAAGAAAACAACCAAGCTCAGAGAGCACCAAGGACCCCACAGTCCTTCTCCTACGCCGCCACCACTCTGCAACACACACACACACACACACTGCACTGATACTGTACCCTAGTTAAGCAATGAAATGTCTGCAAGAAAAACCACCAAGCTCAGAGAGCATTAAGGACCTCACAAGCAGCCAGGCATTAAAAGCAGCATTTGGGATGAATGGAATCAATGGGTTTTCCTTCAAATATCTTCAATCTGGTCTCCGTTATCAGCTCTTGCTAGGTAACTAAGGAGAGCTGACCCAAAACTTTAGACAGACAACCGATTCCTTCGCCCATCCGCTCAGTGGTAGGATTCAAAATGTTTTATTACGGGTTCTGTGGGCGTGGCCTGGTGGGCGTGGCAGGGGAAGGATACCGCAAAATCCCCCTTCCCGCCCCACCCCACTAACCTGCTTTCCAGCTCCGTTCTCCTGGGCAGGGCAACCAAAGAAGACCCAGCTGTTCTTTTTCCTAACTCAGTTACAAGATGGTTAGGATGGGGGGCGGGTTGTTCTTCTGCGCACTGAGCCACCCTCCTCTCTCTCCCATCACACACACACACACACACACACACACACACCAACCCACCCACCCTCAAGAGAGCTGGGATGCCCCAATTCTGGAGGCTGGACAGCCTTCTATCAGAAGTAGCACAGGTCTCCTGCGAGAAGCAGGGGGGTTGAGCTAGATGACCTCCACGGTCCCTTTCCAACTCTATTACTACCAGTAATTTGTCTATGGAGATTGTCAAAGTCATGGGTTGCCCCAAAGGTGCTTTTGGGGGGGGGGTTTCCCCCCCAAAAGTCAACTGGACTTTCTGATTATTATTTTTTCTTGGAAGATGTTTCGCTTCTCATCCAAGAAGCTTCTTCAGCTCTGACTGGAGGGGTACTGCTACTACCGGTAGTGCTATCCAGCGCCTCCCAAGGCGAAGGGTGCTCCGCGGTTGGATCGCTGCTTGGTCTCTAGGATCTTTCAAGAAGAGACGGGACTGCCCTCTGTCAGAAATGGTGTAGAGTCTCCTGCTCGGGCAGGGGGTTGGACTAGATGACCTACAAGGTCCCTTCCAGATTCTGTTCATCTGAAATTCGGATCGGATTCCGGGATGGAAAAAAAAAAGAGAGATCTACAGCCCCGCCCGATCACTCGTTGCTTTCCGCGCCTGAGATGCATGCAGCCCTCCCACCCTCCAATTCCCCCCACCACCTCCTTTTTTATTTTTATTTTTGCATCCCTTTTCTTTACCTCTCCGGCGTAAATGCAAGGCGTTGGATCTCCGAGACATCGAAAAATCCCTGGGGGAGCCGGCGCCCCCCCCCCCCGATCTCTTCTCTGCCCCCTTTGCATTCTGGCTCTTGTAGTCCAGGCGTTGCAAATGCGCTCCGTGAGAAACCCAAGGGAAACTTTTCCAAACTTTTTTTTTTAAGGCTCTCTAAGACTTTGGACTGCTTTGCCATTTTTTAAAAAATTCCTTTATTTATTTATTTTTAATGCAAGGTCGGTACCTGAGGGGTGATGGATGGACTACAACCCCCAGCAGGCATTGCATGGAGCCGAGTGGGGGGGTGAAAAAAAGGACGAGGGAGAATCCTCTTTTGCGATTGGATAGGACGGGTGGAAACTACGTTACCCGCAAGGCATCGCGGCTGAAACTGACGCCTTGGCACTTTGCATATGGGGAAGGGGGGGAGAGTCCTTTCTTCGGTGTCTAGGCAACCAAAGATGTTGGAGCGGTGGGGGAGGGGTGGGTTCCTGCTTTCGGACGTGCGCCTTCCGCCCCAAGATCTGGCCATGCTGGCATTTGCACGTGCATCAAGTTTAGTGGTTTGCACGTTCAGACGTTCAGCGGAGAGTTAACAAATTCTCGCATTCGGACCTTGCCCCCAGAGATCGAGCAATTGCTTAATTCGGACGTACAGCAGAAAGTTAGCAATTGCTGCAATTGGTTCCTTATTGTGACGTTTTAGCCTTCTAGCCTGTGCCCGTGTCTTGTCCACCCAGTGGCTCCATCACTGTAGCTGGAAAACCAGAAATTCCCTAGATGATCAGAATTGACCTGGAGGAATCACCCGGATAACTGGAATCACCAGAAATTACCTCCCCTTATCTGGATCTCTGCTGCCCAATGCGTGCATTAATTTAATCCAGCCAGGTTCTGCCTCCTGAGATTTAGATGCACGCAAAGCAAAACTGACTTGCAACCAGTTTACGGCAAACTGCCGTAACATTCTGGACTTTATCCTGAGATATCATACTTGACTCTGGCATTATTCTTTATCTGTCCATCTCTCCTGAGCTTTCCTTATATGCTCCAGAAGGTTTCCTTTCTTGCCTTTATTATGACTATAAACAACTCAAGGTGGGGCACATATCCAACACACCTTCTTCCTCCTGTTTTCCCCCACAGAAACAACCTTGTAGGGTGGGGTGGGGGAGAGAAACACACAGAGAGACACAGAGAGAGAAAGACAGAGAGAGGAACAGACAGACAGAGAGACAGACAGAGTTAGACAGAGACAGAGAGAGAGAGAGACAAAGAAACACAGAGAGAGAGAGAGAGAGAGAGAGAGAGAGAGTCTGGCCCAAAGTCACCTTTCACGACTAAACCCTAGAATTCACAGTCTCCTGATGACTGGCTGAAAATCCCCCAACTGGCTTTCATGCCTAAAGTGGGACTAGAACTCACCAGCTCCTGGTGACTGGGCCAAAGTCCACACCTAGAGTCCTGCATCCAGTTTTGGTCCCCACACCATAAAAAAGATGTTGAGACTCTAGGAAGAGTGCAGAGAACAGCAACCAGGATGATGAGGGGACTGGAGGCTAAAACATATAAAGAACAGTTGCAGGAACTGGGCCTGGCTAGTCTAGGGAAGAGAAGGACCAGAGGAGACAGGAGAGCGGTCTTCCAATACTTGAGGGGCTGCCACAGAGAGGAGGAAGGGGTCAAACTATTCCCCAAGGCACCCAAAGGCCAGACAAGGAACAATGGATGGAAACTGAACAAGGAGAGATTCAACCTGGAAATAAGGAGATTTTTTTTTCTGACGGTGAGAACAATCAACTAATGGAACAAAAGTTGCCTTCGGAAGTTGTGGGAGCTTCATCACTTGAGACTTTCAAGAAGAGACTGGACTGCCATTTGTCAGACATGGTGTAGGGTCTCCTGCTTGGGCAGGAGGTTGGACTAGATGACCTACAAGGTCCCTTCCAAATTCTGTTAATCTGATTTGTAAAAATCACCCAACTGGCTTTCATGAGTAAAGCAGGACTAGAACTCACCATCTCCTGGTTTCTTAACCAGGTACCTTAATCGAACTGGCTCTCTAAATTAGCCAACAATGAGAAACGCTGCTTTCCCACCTCCACAATAAGGACTAGCCTCTTGGTTTATCTAGGAAGGAAGAAAAGAGGCTGTTTTACTTGTGCATCTAGTTCTTGCTTTAGAGGGCTTTATTAGTCAAGGAGCGTTTTTCTTCTTCTTCTCTCTCTTTTCACACTGGGAGTGTGCTAGTGGAGGACGAATATTTGACCTCGTCTCTCTGGGATGACCCCACATAGTTGTCCCGCCTGGCAGCGTACTCCCCGACGTTGGGCAGCCCTGGGACCACGCAGCAGCTCAGCGCACTGCGGTAGATGCTCATGTCATGGGCATCATACCACTCGTCTGTCTTCTCATCGTAGCACTCGACGTTGAACGTGGTCGTGAAGCCGTTGAAGCCGCCCACCACAAAAAGCAGGTCATCCACCACTTCGATGCCGAAGTTGCTCCGGGGGTTGAACATGGTCGGGATCGTGCGCCAGGTGTTGGCGATCGGGTTGTACGCCTCGGCACTCCGCAGGCGGTTGGCGCCGTCGAAGCCGCCCACCTGCGGACAGTGAGGACCAAAGGGACAGATTAAAGGGAAAAGGTGGCTTGGCCCCGTAGCAGGTGGATGGATGGAGGGAGAAAAATCCAAAATTTAGAATTAGAATAGAGTAGGCTGGAAGGGACGTTGGAGGTCTTCTAGTCCAGCCCCCTGCTCAAACAGGAGGACCTATAGTAACAGGTATAGTAACCTATAGAGCTGTGATGGTGAACCTATGGCATGCGTGCCACAGGTGGCGTGCAGAGCCATTTGTGCGGGCATGCGAGCCTCAGCCAAACTTAACTGCACCGCACATGCGTGCACCTCCCGGCTGATTTTTGGCCCTTTTGAGGCCTTTTTCGGCCTCTCTGAGGCTCAAGGGAAGCCTCTGCAGCCTTTGGAGGCCGAAAAACGGGCCCGTTTTGGCACTTCTGGTATTTACCGGAAGTGCCGAAACGGGCTTGTTTTTCTGCATCCCGAGCTTCGGGGAAGCCGAAAAAAGCCTCAAATGGGCCAAAAATCAGCTGGGAGGTGCAGGCATGTGCAGTGCAGGTAAGGGGGCAGGGGGTGTTGTGCACACATGTGCAGCGGGATGGTGGGGGAATTGCCTTCTGGGTGCTGGCACAATTTTCGGCATGGGAGCCCAAAAGGGTTAGCCACCACTGCTATAGAGTAACAGATCAACTGATGATGCTACATCTATTGTTATCTATACCAGGGGTCTCCAACCTTGGCAACTTTAAGGCATTTGGTGCCAAAAAGCTTAGCCATTACTGACCTATACCATCTCAGAAAAATGACTGTCCAATCTCTTCTTAAAAACCTCCAGTGATGGAGCGCCCACGATTTCTGGTGGCAAGCAGTTCCACTGGATAATTGTCCTCACTGTTAGGAAGTTTCTCCTTAATTCCAGGTTGCTTTTCTCTTTGATCAGTTTCCATCCATTGTTTCTTGTCCTGCCTTCTTTGGTGCTTTGAAAAATAATTTAAGCCCAGGGGTGGGATTCGACCAGTTCGCACCAATTCACTAGAACTGCCTGTTAACATTCTAAGCAGTTGGGAGAACCGGTTGTTAGAAGAAATTACTGGCCTAATCCTGTAAGGAAGGCAGGAAGGAAACATTCTGGTGTTGCTTACAGAAAGTGCCTCTCGGTTAGCCCTTATTACATTCTTGGCAGGACTAGACTTCCTGTCTCAGGAACCTCTCTGGAGTTTTTTTCCCCTCCTTTACTGGTACTTTGCTTGTGTGGAGTGACCATTCAAAGTTACAATGGCACTGAAAAAAGTGACTTATGACCGTTTTTCACACATACGACTGTTGCAGCATCCCCGTAGTCATGAGAGGCCAGGTGAGGAGATGCGTGCCTCGATGTGAGTGATATTGAGTTGGCCACGCCCACCCAATAACATGACCACCAAGCCACGCCTACCAACTAAGCCATGCCCACAGAACCGGTTGTTAAAAAATTTGAATCCCACCCCTGTTTAAGCCCCTCTTCTTTGTGGCAGCCTCTCAAATAGTGGAATCCTGCCATCATGTCACTCCTAATTCTTCTTTTCTTTCAGCTAGCCAAGCCCAAATCCTGCGGCCGTTCTTCGTAGGGTTTAGTCTCCAGGCCAGTTGCTCTTTCTCTGCACTTTTTCCAAAGTCTCAGCAATTTTTTCATAATATAGTGACCAACATTGGTTGCAGTATTCCAGGTGTGGTCTTACTAGGGTTTTATAAAGCGGGACTAATACTTCACCTGATCCTATGCCTCTGTTTATACAGCCCAGGATTGTATTTGGGTTTTTTTGGTGGTGACGGCTGCACACTGCTGGCTGGTATTCAAATGTTCATCCACAGAGTGGTCAATGCCTGGAATGTGTTTATTTATTTTTATTTATTTATTTTGATTTGTCAATCACTTACAAGGTAATAGGTATAAGTATAAACATGAGTAAGAATACAAGAAATGGGGACGAATAAATGGGGACAATAGGACAGGGACAGTAGGCACGATGGTGTGCTTATGCACGTCCCTTACAGACCTCTTAGGAATGGGGTGAGGTCAATAGTGGATAGTTTGAGGTTAAAGGAATGGGAGTTAGAGGATGTAACAACAGAGTCAGGTAGTGCATTGCAGGCTTTGAGCCCTCCGTTGATGAAGTCGTACTTCCTGCAATCAAGTTTGGACCTGTTTACATTGAGTTTGTATCTGTTGTGTGCTCTTGTATTGTTGTGGTTGAAGCTGAAGTAGTCATTGACTTTTGTGTACTACGCTTAAGTCCAATCTTAGCCGGCATAGTTCAAGGTTGTCTAAGCTTAGAATCTCAAGTCTGGTGATGTAGGGTATTCTGTTGCAAACAGAGGAGTGTAGTATTCTTCTCGTGAAATACTTCTGGACTCGCTCGATTGTATTAATGTCCGATATATAGTGCGGATTCCAGACAGATGAGCTGTACCCTAACTCTGTTGTCACAGCCTCAACCACTCGCAGCTTCAACCTCAAACTGTCTACTGTGGACCTCATTCCTAAGAGGTCCTTAAAGGGGGCGTGCATAAGAGCACCAGCGTGCCTATCATCCCTGTCCTACTGCCCCTGTTCATCTGTATTTACTTCCTTTGTTCTTGTTTATGTTCATACCTATACTTGCCATGTTGTGCATGTTTGACAAGCAAACAAAATAAATAATAAAATAAAATCCTAGGAGTTGTTTCCCAGCTGTTGTAGAGGGGAAGGGATTGGAGAAAGCTGCAATAGACTGAGCAAAACAGCATGTATAGTTCTAGCAACCATGACGGAAAGAGATGTTGCACTTGGTCAGAAATGGTATAGGGTCTCATGCTTGGGCAGGGGGTTGGACTAGATCAGGGGTCACCAACCTTTTGGACCCCAGGAACCACCCAATTTATAATTTTAAATCCAGCGGATCAGAGATCCTGGGAAAATCCTCCAAAAAGTCTGCAGGAAAATTCCTCAGCCTATTTTCCTACAGATCACTCTTAATTTGGGATCGCAGGATACCGTTTCCAGCTCCGTTCTCAGGGGGAGAGAAAGAGAGAGAGAGAGAGACTTTTGGCTTCATGCAAGGAAAGCAGCAGAAGCAGCAGAAGTCTTTCTTTCTCTCCCCCAAACTCCGCCAGAAATGAGTCTTTGCTGGCACAGCCTCTTGGAGCAGGAGGCCTTGCAGGGTCCCAATGACTCATTTCTGGCGGAGTTTGGGGGAGAGAAAGACAGACTTTTGCTGCTTTCCTTGCGTGCAGCCAAAAGCAGAAGAAGAAAGAAGTGGAAAGAAGCAGCCCAGTGGCCAGACAAGGCATGTGGGGCGAGTGGGGCAAGCTCCTCCCTCTGCCCTTTCCATCCTCCCCTCACTACCTCATGTTGTTCGTAATGCAAGCGACGCAAACCTTGTGTTCCCATGCAGCCTGGATTAATTGCTTTGGGGGTGATATTTCTCTGCGGACCACCAACATTTTCTCACAGACCACCAGTGGTCCCTGGCCCACTGGTTGGCAACCATTGGACTAGATGACCTACAAGGTCCCTTCCAACTCTGATTATCTGTTAAATTAAATTACCAGCCCAAGAGGACCCCAGCCTTACTGCATAGACGTGTTCTCCGTACGCAATCACGCCGATCCCGCTGCGCCTGCTACGCATGGGTGCAATCAAGCTCCACTGATCCACCTTGGCATCGTAGACCTCCGCCGTGAAGAGACACTCGTTCCCATTGAAACCACCACAAATGTAAACCTTGTATTTGAAAAAAAAAATGGAAAAAAAAGGAGGCAGGGAGTTAATTATATGGATGTTCACACTGAGAACGTTGGAAGAATATTAATCATATGCATAAGGAAGAGCCAATGTATATATAGTCAATGCCAATCCTATGCATAACGAAGTGTCAATCCTATGCATGAGGAAGAGTCGATGTAAGGTGTACAACCCGGTGAGAATTATTGTTTATAATGCAGATTATCTCTGTGCTGTTGGCTAGTTCTACAACATGAACTTGGACCATAGGTGGTATTCAGCAGGTTCTGACCAGTTCTGGAGAACCAGCAGTGGAAATTTTGAGTAGTTTGGAGAACCAGCCAATCCCACCTATTGACTGGCCCCACCAATCCCATCTCTTCTCTGCCTCCCATCGAGTCCCAGCTGATCAGCTGAGTCTTCTTTGGTTGCCCTGCACAGGAGAACGGAGCTGGAAAGCAGGTCAGTGGGGTGGGGAGGGAATGGGGATTTTGCAGTATCCTTCCCCTGCCACGCCTACCAAGCCACGCCCACAATGCAAACCATGCCACACCCACAAAACCAGTAGTAAAAAAAAATGAATCCCACCACTGACTTGGACCCATTCTATCACACAATTGATTCTGGGTACTCTCTAACCCTTAATTTATAGCAGCACCCATGCTTATTTTAATGCCTAGCTCAAATCATGGTTTTCTTCTCTGTCCAGGGTGGAACACGGGTCTCTTAAGGCAAGGGAAAGTCCACGGTGCCTGGAATTCAGTTCCAAAAAGATACTTCAGACTTCCCAGGAGTGTGAATTGAGCCTGGTCTGCAGCTCTTTAAAGCAACTGCATCTTTCCCTGGCGTAGCATAGCTGCTGTCAACCCTGTAGCTGGCCGGACGGAGGCCAGTTTTGAGACTTCAGAGCTGAAACACCAGGGAGGAGGGATAGGGAGGTGGGTGACAGAGATAGAGATAGTTGGGGTGGTGTAGCCAAAACAAAATGCTTTCTCGTGGGAACCAAGGACATTCCTGCAGATGCTCGGAAGGAGGGGACTGGAGTCACTTAGCAACTAGGCAGCATCCTGATTGGATCATGGGACTGGCTGTTTTGAAAAAGTGACAAACTTTCACTTTTAATCAGGTGAAACCCGTGGGAATATTCAGAGTCGGTTTTCACCAGCTTGTGCCAATATGACATACCCAATAAATCTATTCTTTGAGGGATTTGCCTGCTTCCGAGTTTTGTTTGCTATGGGTATGTTACTTGGAAGCTGCTTTAAGGAGCTGCAAGCTGATCTATTACTCTGACCCAACAAACATCAGATCAGGGAAGCCATCTGGATTTGACTTAGACTGAGTTTTGTTCGGCGCATTACTGGTTCTGAGAATCACGTTCCATCTTATGTTCTGGCCTTCGCCTGATTTTGACGTAGAAGAGAAATCAAATTAGGTGTCATCGATTTCTTGAGCATACCTTGGTTCATTTTGCTCCTACCTTCTTTTCTTTCTCTCTTTCAAAATAAACCCGTAATGTTTGCCTTAACAGCAGCTTTGGGAAATGTACAAGGATAAGAAATGTGGGGAAAGAAAGTTGGGTTTTTTTGCCCCCGAGCCAGGAATCACAGTTGATCTTTATGTGGCACACTCCAAAATCAAAAGTTATCATGCCCCTCTTGGAGTCTGAATCTGCCAATGGGGCACAACAGATCCAAGGCATGAGTGCAAAAGACCTGGCAATTGTATTCGCTGTTTGTTGTGGTTAGCCGGCAGCAGGTGCGGACGGCTGAAGAGATCGAGGACTCAGATGAGGGGCCAGGACCATTAGGGAGTGGACTGCTGTCTTCAGAGATTGTGGGGGCTGGCAGCAGCAATGAGGAGGTTCCCGAGGAGCCTGTGCCAAGTGCGCATGCGCGCAGGGTTGCTTGCAGGAAAGAGCAGCTGCGACAGCACGGGCAACTTGGCAATAAGGCTGCAAGGTAATGGCCCCTCCTTCAACAAGATAAAAGCCAGCTATGAATCGGACGTTCTTTGCAGGAAGAAAAAACGTTTTGAAACTCAGCCTCGTGGACATTACAGTATCTTAAGTTGGTATTTGAAGGCTCTTGTGTTATGAAATATTTCTTATCTGTTATTCTTGGCAGTCTCGCAGTTTTGGTGAAGCTTATGCTAATCAAAGTTAATTAGTTTGCAGCAGCCTTTTAACCGGGGATTTGTAAGAATCATTAAAAGGTTTCTGTTCCTTTTGGTTCGTGTTTGTTCTATTGGAAAAGGGCTTGGGTCAGAACACTGTTGGAAAATTCTGCACAATAGTTACCTTTCCGTAGAGTGTCGTGGCACTCGCGTCACTCCTCTGCTCGTGCATGGGAGCGATTAAGGTCCACTGGTTGGTCTCGGGCTCGTACCTCTCTGCCGTGTTGAGGCGCACGTAACCGTCAAAGCCACCCATGGCATAGATGAAGTTATCAAGGACGGTGACACTAACATAGCAGCGCCTGGAGTGCATGGGAGCCACCTGGTGCCAGGTTTTTTTGATGGGCTCAAACCGCTTGACACTGTTGAAGTAGTCCACGCTGTCAAACCCGCCAATGATGTAGACGTAGCCCTTCAGGTAGGCAGCGCCGTGGTACGCCCGGGGACTCTCCTGCTGGCAAGTCACATTCACCCAACGATCCGCCCGGGCGTCATACGTCTCAATCGCATTGGTTGGGCTCCCTCCACTCCAACCACCAATGGCAAACAGGATGGCGTAAGGGAGCCGGGGTCTCGTCAGTGGATTGGTGAAGTCGGAACTCGAAGGGCCATTCATGTTCAGGTCGTACATGGCTTTGAGGGCATCGATCACAATGGGCTTGCACTCCTCGCTGTCCTTCACATAATCGTGCATTTTGACGTTGTTCATGAAATACTCCGCATGCATCAAGGCCAGACGGACCTTCAAAGACAGAAGGAGGATTGAGAGCAGAGGTGGTATTCATCCAGTTCTGACCGGTTCTGGAGAACCGGTAGCAGAAATTTTGAGTAGTTCAGAGAACCAGCAAATCCCACCTCTGGGTGGCCCCGCCCCCATCTATTCTCCACCTCCCATTGAGCCATATTTCCGGACTGCGCGTTGATGTAAACCATGATGTGGGGCTTTGGGGATATCAGTTGGTGTGGGTTTATGATCCTGATTCAGATAGATGGTGTGTTGGGGGGGGGAATGGGAGGTAGGTACAGATACAGAAGGGATAGATAGCACGGGGAGAGAAAGAAGTGTAAATGAAGATTCGGCAATGACAAATAGGCATGGGGAGGAGGTGTGGGAGTAGAGAATGCAGCAGCGGATGTCAGGTTTTTAGCTGGGAGGGACTAGAACAACTTGACTCTTGACGAATGTATTTTTTCTTTTATGTACACTGAGAGCATTTGCACCAAGACAAATTCCTTGTGTGTCCAATCACATTTGGCCAATAAAGAATTCTATTCTATTCTATTCTATTCTATTCTATTCCATTCCATTCCATTCCATTCCATTCTATTATATGCTGATTAGTGTACATTTAAAGTAGCAATAAAGATTCTATTCTATTCTTATGCCTATTTTATTATTCTATTCTATTCAATTCTATTCTTTCTCTATTCTGTTGTTAATTCTATTGTTAATTCTATTCTTCTATTCTATTCTGTTCCATATTCTACTCTACTCTACTCTACTCTACTCTTCCCTCTCTGTCTATCACTGCTCACCAATCAAGTTTCTGCAAGATGTTTCCATAGCGGTCAGTCTGTGCCCAGGTTGGTATGTATGCAGCTCCCTCTTTCTGCCCAGTTGGCTGACCTTGAAGCAGTGCCTCAAGGCAGCTTCTACTTTCGTTTTCCCCAAGCATCCCACTCCCTTCATTCCCCCTCCCTACAGTTTCATGGCAAACCGCCGCCGCATAATAGTGAGGCATGAGATGGCAGCTGAGAAAGACTCACCTTCGGTAGCAAGACCGCCATGTGCTGTTTCCGGTTGGGAGGTTCGTGGGCGATCCACTTGAGAATGGCTTCGAAGACCGCGTCTTCCTGCTTCACGTTGAGTTCGTCCTTTTCAATGATGTCCTTAAACTCATTGACCGAGAGCTCCAGGAATTCAGTAGACGCTTTTACCATTTCCTCAAAGTTGTGCAGGATGAACATGTAGGCAGCCTGTCGTAGCTCCGGGCAGTAGTAATACTCGGTGAATTTGCAGATGCCAATACAATTCTCCAAGCAGAGCTGAGACTTCATAAAATCGGAGCAGGCTCTGACGATACCCATCACATTAAACTGGTCGGCGGCTACGAGGAGCCGTTCCACATTGTCCACTGTAATGGGCACTGTCCTTGTGTAGGCGTATTCGATAATGAGTTTCATCATATCTGGGGTAATACCAGGAATATTATATATCTTTTTTTCGGAGTTGTTCCAACTACTGGTAAACAGAGCTCTGAAAGAGAAGCACAACAGTCATGGTTCTGGATGTCAACTCATAAAACAGTTCTATGGTCTTTTTAGAGTTGCCAACAGAAAGAGAGTGGGGAGCAGTGCAGCTGCTTGCAAACCAAAACTGCATTCCATAAATAGTTTTCAAAGATAGTAACTAGGTGACTGAAGTTTCTGCCGCACAAAATTCTAACTGGAGAGCATGGTTGAAGACTCTTGGCTATGGATGTGTCCCATTGGAGAATATGAATGATGATACACCCAGGGGGTGGGGAAAAACCAGGGTCAAGGGTGACAATGAATGCTGTGTCTCCGAGTTGGCTGCACCCAGGCAGTGCCAGCATGTTAACTCCCAATAAATCCTTTTGAAGTTTTGGAAGTTTGGCTCAAGACTCATGATTTAGTTGGGGGTCACTGCCAGAATCCTGACACTGGGCTTCCAAGGGACAGTGTTAGCTTAATACAGGGGTCTCCAAACTTGGTAACTTTTTAACTTTTCCTGGCTGGGGAATTCTGGGAGTTGAAGTCCAGAAGACTTAAAGTGGCTAAGTTTGGAATCTCCTGGCTTCATGAAATTCCTCCAGCTTGCTTGCTTGTTTATTTGTTTAAAATAAGATTCTAGTCACTTTTTTTCTGTGAAGACACTGCACACATTTTTTAAAAAAATGAAATTGTGATGCTCGCTTTCAAAAGAAATATATATATATATATATATATATATATATATATATATATATATATATATATATGTATGTATGTATATATATATATGTATATGTATATGTATATGTATATATATATATATAAAACCATAAAAATATATAGCCATAACAATAAATATAAAAGCATAAGCATAACGATATAACCATATAGTTATTGTACGCATCCAACCTTTATTATTTTTATAGATAACACAAGGCAGCAAACATATCCAACACTCTTTCCTCCTCCTATTTTTCTCCACAACAACCACCCTGTGAAGCAGATTGGGCTGAGAGAATGAAGGGCCCAAAGTTAGCCAGCTGTTTTTCATACCCAAGGTGGAACTAGAACTCTCAGCTCATTGACTTAACCACTGGCTCTCAAACTGGTTAGCCTCTTTCCCTACCATATCTCCTATACCTTTGAGATATTGAAAGCTATTAGTGGCCTGCTTGTTCCTAAGGAGGTGCAGGATTCAAAAATGGTTCATAAAATTTGCTTTAGATGTTAAGTCTTTCTTCTCTCGCCCTCCTATTTGATTAAAGAGCTTGATGCACAAAGATTTACCTTTGGATCATTTGGGGTCCAAAGTCAATTAAGGGCTTCTTCCCTGGCTGTATTAACATCTGTAATAATGGTTTAACTTGGTGCCATGTGTATTTATTTCATACTGTTTTAATTGTGTTTGTGTCTTATATGTGCCTCCCAAAGACATGAGACGGGCAGATATAGAAACCAAATATATAAATGCACGCACACACACACACATATGTTCCTTAATAAATCAACAAAGAAGTAGAATGTTTGTGACTCATCCGTTTAACTGGAGTTTTATCTTGTTTTAGGACTTACCTGGAAAGCAAGTCACCTTTTAGATTGCATTTATAAGGAAGTCTTGAACATTCAAAAGGGTTTGCAAACTTTTAAGCATAAAGCGACCAACTTTTTAACAATGAAAAGGAGGACACAAATAAATTGAAGAAAAAAAACAAAGCCACTTTTGCGCGGCGCATTCTTGTGCGTGCCGCACTCTCTCCAAACAATTCTTCTGTGTGGAGCGCATGCATCTCGCTGCACTGTACTGAGCCTTGACGAATCGTCACGTCAAATACAAATACGTCGCATCCCACACAATGGATCGGATCGGCATCGATCAAATACGGAGATTTACAGATTAGTCTTCAAATATCAAAAAGGAGGACATGTAGGAGGAAACGTTTCGCGAGAGGACAGAACTTACAAAAGGAGGACCGTCCTCCCTAACGGACGACGGTTGGTCACCTTATTAAGCGCCATAGATGATTTCTCAGCTGGAAATAGATGGTCTCCTTCTGCTATAATGCCTTAATCGCCATACCCCACTTAAGTTATTTTTGGGGTGCCAGGCACATTCTTTTCTAGAAGAGAGAGTCAACCTATTCCCCCAAAGCACCTGAAGGCAGGCCAAAAAGCAATGAATGGAAACTAAGCTAGGGGAGAAGCAACGTGGAACTAAGGAGAAACTTCCTGAGTTCGAAAAATTCATCATTCAATTCAATTCAGTTCAATTGTGGGTACTGCAACGCGGAAGGTTTTTGAGAATTGATTGGACAACCATTTGTCTGAAATGGTATAGGTTTTCTGCTTGAGCATGGGGTTGGACTAGAAGACCTCCAAGGTCCCTTCCAACCTCTGTTATTCTGTAGAGGGATGGAAGCAAACACATTTCCGACTAGATCTCACAATACCCTCGAATCATTTCAATGGGATCCATTGGTTCCTAAAAAAGGAAGATACTTTAATACCATCTGCCTTTTATATAGCAGCTTTCCCGAATTTGATGTTCTCCAAATGTTTTCTAATTGTAATGTATCTGGGAGGGTGCCAGATGTGGAAAAAAAAACTGCTCTAAATTCCCATTCTTGCTTTCTGTGATCCTATCTCATAGCATTGTTGTTGTTTTTCACAGCAGTATTGAACACCTCCTGAGCCACAAGCTGTACAAATGTTGGTGGGTTAAAAACTCCCTTCTTTATTTTTGAATGTCATTTCATCCGAGAAGGCAAACAATATTCCCTTTTCTCAGGGGTGGGATACGACAGGGTTAACTACCAGTTCGGGATTTACGAGCTTCCCTGCACGCTGTGAGCCGCACACCTGTAAATCGTCATCAGCATGCTGTGTGCAGAGACGCAGCCTTTGAAACAGCCCTCTTTTCCTGCTTTTTTAACTGCAGCTGTGCCTCGTTCGGCAGCTGAAGTGGAAAAAAATCAGGAAATAAAGATCAGATAAGAGCCCAGGTGGGCGGGTGAGCAAAACCATCAGCAGACGTAAAACCGGTTCTATGTCTGCTGCTCTTCAGAGCTACCGGTTCTACTGAGGTGGACAGAACTGGTAGAAACCACCCCGCCTTAAAAAAAAATGCTTTGCTATCCGTAGTTTTTTATTTTATTTAAAAAGACAAGTTATTTCAAAGGAAGCTAAAAACTCTTCCCCCAGAAAAATAGCTAGGGAGATTCTCAATCGTTCAGGCCAGGATTGTCCCAAAGGTCCTTTTTCCAAAAGACAATTGGACTTCGTTGTTGTTTTTTTTCCTTTGTATCACTTTTCTCCCAAGAAACTTAGACCTCAAGAAGCTTCTTGGATGAGAAGCAAAACATTTTCAAAGGAAAGGAAAAAAGGACCAAGAAAGTTCAATTGCCTTTTGGAAAACACACCTCCACAAAGACGATTAGAATTTCTCAATTCCTACAACCAGGGACTAAAGGTTTATTTATTTACTATTAAACCTTAGGTGCTGCCTGACTGACCAGAGGACACTCAAGGAGGCTACAGTGATTATGCTGCCGGATGAGAGAATCCACCATCCAACTGATGGGAGATCTTGGCTGGTTGCTTACATCCCTTTCAAGAGATGGGGAGCGCACTGACCGAAAATAAGAGCTGCAGCTACAGAGAATGTTCTTATGAGCATTGAATTCACACCCGTTGACTTTGATGATGACGTCACACAGCTTCCCTTCCAGCCGAAGTTCGTTGAAGACTGTACAAGCCATCGCACTCATCTTCCGCTCCATGTGACGATAGGAGTACCCCGCCGAAGCAGAGGCATCATCCATTCTTTCAAAGTGGGGGAGGCAGCGGGAAGAGCTGCCAGGCCTTCCACTTAAACCCTCCTCTTGGAAAAAAAAAGGGTGTGATTGGCCCAGGGGTTCCAGAACACCCTTCCATAATGAGACCTTTGACACGACCAGGTTCTAGAACTCCAGCTGCCCTCCGAAGCTAGCGGGCTCATTGCCTTCACAGGAGGGAGATGGTCGCGTTGGGTATCTTGAGGGCTCCTCTATGTCATCTCCTCCATGGAGATCCTCAATTATCCAGATCACGGTTGGAGGGGACTGGAGGCTAAAACATCTGAAGAACAGCCGCAGGAATTGGGTATGTCTAGTTTAATGAGAAGAAGGACCAGGGGTGACATAATAGCCGTGTTCCAATATCTCAAGGGCTGCCACGAAGAGGAGGGAGATGTTCTGACCAAGGCTTCTTGAGATCATAATTAAGCACACACTTAGTTAAAACAACTCTTGTTTAATTTCAACGCTGGGAATTATGTGCATTCCCAGCCTGTAATGAGTCCCAAACAGTCCCTCGAGATAAGCACCCACCTTTCTCTCCTTTGAATTGCTGCCAACAATTGGAGTGCCGAATGAACTATAAAAACAACAACCTAAGTACAAAATCCACACAGAGCTTTAAGCTCTAGAATGGAGGAGGAGGAGGAGGACTGTGGGGTCCTTGGTGTTTTTCTGAGCTTGGTTGTTTTCTTGCAGACATTTCATTACCTAACAAAGTAATATCACCAGTGCTAGAAGGAAGTGGAGTTTACTCTTTTTTATATATACTAATTCTATATTGGTGTTTCCTTAATCAGGCTGTTGTTTACTGTTGGATTGTTTATCTTTTTGGAAAGTTCCTTGATTGGGGTATGAATTGTGTCACTTGCTTATGATCAAGTAAACAAGTAACTATCAACACAAATACCCTAACGGTAAACAATCTAACCAACATTTTTTTTAGTTTGTATTTTAAATATTTTGAATAAAAATAATCAAGACACAGGATTTTCCAATTCTGAACTGAATATCGTTAACCAAATTTTTACGATGCTACTCCCTTGTGAGACCATATGCTGGTGCGGTTGGCCCTGGGTTCCTCCTAATGCAAGACAATGCTAGACCTCATGTGGCTGGAGTGTGTCAGCAGTTCCTGCAAGACAAAGGCATTGATGCTATGGACTGGCCCGCCCGTTCCCCAGACCTGAATCCAATTGAGCACATCTGGGACATCATGTCTCGCTCCATCCACCAACGGCACGTTGCACCACAGACTGTCCAGGAGTTGGGGGATGCTTTAGTCCAGGTGTGGGAGGAGATCCCTCAGGAGACCATCCGTCACCTCATCAGGAGCATGCCCAGGCATTGTAGGGAGGTCATACAGGCACGTGGAGGCCACACACACTACTGAGCCTCATTTTGACTTGTTTTAAGGACATTACATCAAAGTTGGATCAGCCTGTCGTGTTTTTTTCCACTTTAATTTTGAGTGTAACTCCAAATCCAGACCTCCACGGGTTGCTAAATTTGATTTCCATTGATAATTTTTGTGTGAGTTTGTTGTCAGCACATTCAACTATGTAATGAACGAAGTATTTAATAAGAATATTTCATTCATTCAGATCTAGGATGTCTTATTTTTGTGTTCCCTTTATTTTTTTTTGAGCAGTGTATTTCATTGTTGCATTTTCTTACAAGTTCCCCAGGCAAGGATCCCTTTTCTTTAAAGGGAGAGGGATATCATGGCTAAAGATAAAATCCTAGGTAAGTTGATCTCCGTAATATCAGCTAAAAAAATCAGGTTACATCACTTCATAAAAATTGCTGTTCCATAAGCAATGCTACCATTTTAGAAAGAAAGGAAGAAAGAAAAAAAGAGGAACCAGGAAAAAATGTGTCAAGGGAGGTCACAGAACAGTGGCAGATCTTAACAGAATGGAGAGAGTTGAAAGAGACCTATCTATCAAGTCTATCAAGTGTCAGGATTCCGGCAGCTACCCCCATTAAGACAAACTTACAAAGGATTTATTGGGAGTTAACATGGCGGCACTGCCTGGGTGCAGCCAACCCTACTCAAGCAGGAAATCCTATACTATTTCAGACAAATGGTTGCCGTTTCTTCTTAAAAACCTCCAGCGATGGGGCATCCACAACTTCTGAAGGCAAACCTCCCCACTGATTAATTGTTCTGTTAGGAAATTTCTCTTTCATTCTAGGTTGCTTCGCTTCTTGATTAATTTCTACCCATTGTTTCTTGTCTTGCCTTCTGTGGCTTTGGTGGGAGTAGCTTTTTCTAAATCATTTTAAAGGCTCCTTTTTTTTTCCTCTTCATAATATGTGCACATGCTTCACTGCCCTGGTGGTATTTCAAATTTGATAACTGAAAGGATGCACGCATCACCCAATAGTGCTGAAACTGGGCACCGCATAGAAACATCCGTACACTGAATGCACAGCTGTCTCTTAAATGTCATCTTCTGCTGTTTCTACTGCCAGGAAAGATACCAGGTCTTCTGACCCCAAAAGCAGGAATAATCTTTTTAAAAGACGAGACGTGGGCGTGATGAAACCGAAGGAGAAAACCATGCATGCGAAAGCAATTTAAAAAAAGGGTTCCTTGGTTTTAAAAGGCTGGAAAGCAAAATCCATTTTCCACCTGATTTACTGAGCAGTGTGGTTTGACAGAGCAATCCAAGAGTTTCGAAGATGAAAAGAGCAGTCTGAAAACGAACAATTCTTATCAATGCCCTTTTGTGGCACTGTAAATAAATCCGTTTGAGCCAGCAGCTTTGGAAAAATGGAGATCCAGAGGACCAAGTCGTGACGTTCTTTATTTGACTTTTAATACCTCAACATAGTGTTTCACAACCTTCGCCACTTTTAAGATGTGTGGGCTTCCACTCCCTAAACAATACTAAGATGGCAGGAATAGGTAATACCCCAGATGATACATTCAAGATCCAGTTAGATCTCAATGTTGACTCATAAAATATTTCTCTGGTCTTCTTAGAGTTGCCAACAGAAAGGGAGGGTGGAACAGTGTATCAGCTTGCAAAACCGAAAGTGTAGTCCATAAATGTTTTCAAAGATAGTAACTAGATGACCGAAGTTATGAATTATGTGTCTCAGAGTTGGCTACAGCCAGGCAGTGCCAGACCTTTTAACTCCCAATAAATCCTTTTTAAGTTTTGGAAGTTTGGCTCAAGACTCAGGATTTAAATGGGGGGGTCACTGCCGGAATCCTGACACACGGTAGACTTGATAGATAGGCCCTCTATCTAGCAAAATTAAATTCAATGTAAAGAAAAGATCTCACGCTTAGGCAAGAAAAATCAAAAGTACAGGTACAGTCTGGGTGAAACCTGGCACAACAGCAGTGACTTGTGAGAGGATCTTGGAGTGCTAGTGGACAATCATTTCAATGAACCAGCAGTGTGTGGCAGTTGCCAGAACAGCCAATGCAATCCTAGGTTGCATTAACAGAGGGACACGACTCGAGATTACGTGAAGCACTGGTACCGTTTTACGAAGCTTTAATAAGACCACATCTAGAATACTATATTCAGTTTTGGTCATCCCATACCAAAAATAAAAAAAAGATTTTGAAAGAATGCAGAGAAGAGGCTAAAACATTCGAAGAATGGTTGAATGAATTAAGTATGGCTAGTCTAGTGAAAAGAAAAGGGCCAGAGATGAAATGATGGCCGTGTTCCAATATTTGAGGGGCTGCCGCAAAGAAGAGAGAGTAAAACTATTTTCCAAAACACCTGGAGGCAAGAAGACAAGAAGCAATGGATGGAAACCCATCAAGGAGAGATCCAACTTAAAACGAAGGAGAAATGTCCTGACAGTGAACGTTTAATCGGTGGTACAACTTGCCTCCATAAGTTATGGGTCACAGGAAGATTTTAAAGAGAGCATGGAAAACTAGGTTGGACTAGAAGATCCACAGGATCCCTTCCAGCTCTGTTATTCTGTTATTCCCAGAACTCCCCTGTTGCTGGCTAGGGAGTTCAGGGAGTTGAAATCCACACATCTTAAAAAGTTCCTGAGGTCCTGGAACACTGACCTAGTAAGGGTAAGGCTGTAATTCTCTGCACCCAAGATTAAATTCTCTTAGATCAGATGGACTTATTTTTTTTTAAAGTTTGGTAAGAATACAGTTCAGAACTCAGTACATTTTTTTCCTTTTAAAAACTGTAGAAGCTTGCTGACAATGGAGGATCTCTAAAGTTCATCTCATCAGATCAAATGCTCTTGTTTAGTTACTCGGCATGAAATCCTAAAACGATTTCAATAAAATATCAAACTCTCTCTTGTTCAGCCCAATCATACCTTCTCTAGCTGCCAGCTGGAAATTTTAATTCTTGGCCCAAGTTCAGCAAAATATAAATTCTGGTGGTGTCTCATATTTTTGAGGAGAGAGCCTCAATCCTGTCCGGCAGCTGTCCAATTATTTAGAAGCCTTTATACAGACAAGTTTTGCAAAGGCAAAACGAGAAAGCGGTAAATTTCACTTTGTTTAATTGGGTATAAAAAGAAACGCCTGTAACTTTCTGAAGCCATCCTGGCTAATAAAACAGGTTTTGTATAGAACAAACTGCCTCCTCCACAGCAGGACACTAGAAAAAAAATAGTTAAGTGGGGTTTTTTTTTTTCCTAGCAGAATCTCCTGAACATGTGGCTGTGCTGTTTTTTTTCCCCACAGGAAGCAGAAAAAACCACGGCCCATTTTGCAACTTCCAACCTGGTGAGGTTTCACAGCAGCTATCTAGATCAGCAACCACGGTGACTATAATCTCTCCCTTTCTCCCCTCTTCCCTCCAACCCCCCCCCCAAAAAAAAAGTGAGGTTCTCAGTTCTAGGCAGCCCCCAGGAATTTGTAGCCCAGTGGACATCGACGTTCTCTTAAATTCAGGTGTATTCACAAAGGTGACCACATCCTGTAGGACAATGGGAGCTGGTTTCCAGCCATTTCATGATATGCTGCAGGTGACCACCGTGGCTGCAGCCCTGGCACCACACAAAGAGGCCCTTGACCACATGGTGGCACACGGCACACATGCTGGCACATTGCCTGCACCTGAAAAAGAGCAGAAAGGAGAAACGCGGCTGAAGGACACAGGTAGGAAGAGCCTCCAGCAAGAGCGAGATTTCAATCTTTCTTCAGCCATGAAGCTCAGCCTGCTACTTGATCTGTTCTCTCTCTCTTTCCTCTTTCTCTCTCTTTCTCTTTTTCCCTTTCTTTTTCCTCTTTCTCTTTTTCTTTCTCTTTTTCCCTTTCTCTTTCTCTTTCTTTTTCCTCTTTCTCTTTCTCTCCCTTTCTCTCTCTTTTTCTCCCTCTTTCTCTTTCTTTTTCCTCTTTCTCTCTCTCTTTCTCTCTCCCGCCCCCCCTCTCTCTAAGAGAGTTGAGAGGGTCATAACCTGGAGTCATTACATTCCCACAAACAATCTCAATCCAACCCCTTTTGAACTCCGTTGACCCTTATTTAGTGCCCATCGAACACCGAACTGCAGTTAACTAAATTCTTGGGTATCGGGTGGAGCAATCAATCTTCTGAACTGTAGCTTAATGGGCAGCCCTGAATCCACGCATCTGCCCCCCCACCCCCCTGACAGGTGGAAGTCCCACTTCGGCCTCCAGGTCACGAGGGAGGCTCCCTGGGCAACGTTTGGGACATCCCAACGAAGTGAGATCATCACAGGTTGCCTAATCCCCGTCTCCTCTTGCTCTCCTGCTTTCAGGAGGAAGGATGCTGCGTTGTCGACAGCCCGGGAGCTTCTCACCGGTCACAGATCCACCCCTTGTTGCTCATCGGCCGCTTGCAGCTGCTGCAGTTGATGTGCAGGGTGGTGGAGGCTTGGTTGAGGCAGTGGATGGCCCTGCAGGTGCTCAGTTTGATCACTTCGTTGGAGATGTTCCACAACTGGAAACGCTGCAGCAGGTCAATGTACGACATGTACCAATGTTCCTGGGAGGAGACAAATGGCAATGATATCGCGGCATCCCGAACTACAGAAGCCGCCGCGCCATCTTTCATCCCCCCCCCCCTTAAGGCTCCAAAGCGCTTGTGCGGCTGACATCCTCGCTGAATGACCAATCGCTTAGTGAGCATCGGAAGTTGCTACAACGGACCGATCCAAAGCTAACTGAGGATCGAGTCCCGGCGTTCCAACAGCTAGACCATTCTCCCTCCGGGCTTACAGGACTGCATGGCACTTCGGGCTCTTGGCAAGCCGGTGCTCACTCTTACGGTGGGCTTTCTCTAGCGCCCCCTGCTGGGACAAGGGGACTTAGCTGGTGCTGGGCCGCCAGCTGTGCCTATAGGTACCTGTGTCTGGTCATCAATTCCTTTCTTGATGCGATCTCCCAGCACAATCAGGACCGACACGGCCATCTGGACGTCTCCCTGCTCGGCGTAGAAGAGAAGCATGTCGTGAACGATTGGGCTGAAGAAATCAGCTGGCAGGCGGTTCTCGTAGAGGGAGTGTGAAATGGAAATGAGGGAAAAGGATTCCACCGGGGTGAGAGACACGGTCTCCGCCTCGTTGCCACTGACGTGGGGCGAGTCGGCTTTATCCTGCAGGTGGTCCAGGGCAGACGGGTTGTCGACGATCTCGTGGCGTAAAGGAAAGGCTTCCTGGGGAAGGATATACTCTTGCTCTTCGGCTGCAGGAAGACACGGAACCATGAAGGAGAAAGCAAGCTGACCCAAACCACTCCACCCTCTCCTCCTATATAATATATATAGATTATGAAACGAATTGGTTTCACACTGTCATCTTTTGTTTGCCTCCTAACTGCTTTGGAGTGCTCACCAAGCACTGGATAAGGAACAAAATCAGAATTAATGTGTTTATTTACGTTCAGTGGAGAGAAAGGGATTAGAAGAGAGCAAGCAGGCACCCAACAGAGAATACGCATAGAAAGCAATGCATTGGCACCCAGCAGCCATGAGCATGCTTGAAAAACAGCCTTGTACCCCGCATTGAGTGCCTGCTTACTCTCTTGCAATCCCTTCTCCAACCTCGCCACTCTGCAAAAGGAGAAAAAGAAAAGAAAAACAAACAGGCTAGGCAGGCGTTACAATGCAGGACAGGCACTCACTGTGAGGATTCTCGTGGTCCATCATGTACAGATCATCTTCATCGGCTTCTACATCGCCCAGGAGATAATCGGCAGGAACGTCACTTCCTTCTGTCTCCTCGTTCTCTGGACATCCAGGAAAAAAAAAAAAAGGAAAAAGACGCTTATGAGTAGAGTCATAGAGTTGGATCGGGCTGTTTTGGCCACAGAGTTCAGCTTCCTGTTCAGTGCAGGAGTTCAGATTGAAGCACCTCTGATCAACGGAAGTCTAGTGTCAGTCTAGGTGACACTTGAACAAAAGCAACAAAGAGAAGTTCCCTCCTTTCTCCGAGGTTTGCTGTTGAAATGATTGGCTACTTAGAGATTCTGCCTTTATCTAGCGTGGATCTATTGTTCCATGTCTTAGACCAGGGGCTGGCAAGCTTAAAACACTCAAAAGAGCCTAACCAGAAGCCTTCTGTTCAATTCTGGAGCCGACCGGAAGTCCGGTTCCACCCACCATAGAGTTTCCTCCTAGCATGGCATCTTTTTTCCTCTACCTGTCCTAACCGAAAGCGCCATCAATTGGGGAGCCGACCGGTGACAGGGAGCCGCAGCAGAGAGGTAAAAGAGCCACATGCGGCTCTAGAGCCGTGGGTTGCCGACCCCTGCCCTAGACACTAAAAGGAGATTGTATCTTCTTTTAGGAAACCCCTCTTTGGGTATCGAATGAATGGCGTAATACAAAGATAGTTGGGCAGCATTTGTTTAGTGACTGTTTGAAGTTACAGTGGCCCTAAAAGAGTGACTTACACCCGGTTCTCGCCCATGCAACCATCTCAGCTTCCCCCATGTCACGTGATGAAAATTCGGGGGCTTGGCAACCAACATGTATTTGCGATGCTTGTAGCATCCTGGGGGTCGTTTGACCGCCATTGGAGACCTTCCCAGACAGCTTCCAACATGCAACCAATGGGGAAAGCTAGGTTTGCTTAATGATCCTATGAGTTATACGAATCACTTAATTAAATGCAGTGGCTCACTCCACAACCGGCTCCCTTCGCAACTGCCTTGCTTGGCAGCATCAATTCTGATCGCAACCGTGGACTTAAGTCAAGGACTACCAGTATTCTTGCTTCCTGGCTTCCATCTTTTGCCTGGACTGAATCGATCCCTTGCACCGCCGTCCATCCCCTTTTCGGTCTGCTCACCGTCGTTATTGATCAGAGTGGAGGAGGAATCCATGAGAATGGCTTCGGGACGGTTCTCCCCTTTGCTCCTCTCCAGCCGCGACTCCGTGCCTATTCCAGAGGGAATATCTTTCAAGTTAAAGCTGGGAGAGAAGCAGAAAAGGCTGAATAGTCCATAGTAAAATTGTCCTCCCCGTATCCTTTTCTCCTCTTAGGTCTGCAGTCCTTGCAATTTGGGCTACGGGCGGTGGGTTTTTTTTAATTCTGAGTTTCTCACCGGCTGAGCTATCTTTGTTGATTTGACTTAATTTCTTTTTTTTTTTAATTTGTTCCTATCTATGCTATTTTTTTTGTTTGCTTTCTAGTCCTTTTCATGTTTTTAACTATGTGTAAGCTGCCCAGAGTTGCTGGGAGTTAGGCAGCATATATAGGTAGCACTCCTCTTACAACAGTTCATTTAGTGTTGACTAACAACGGCAATGAAGACTGTCTTTTTCACAGTTATGGCCATTGCAGCATGATCCAGAGGTGGTATTCAGCAGGTTCTGACCAATTCTGGAGAGCCAGTAGCGGAAAGGTTGAGTAGTTTAGAGAGCCAGCAAATCCCACCTCTGACTGGCCCCGCCAACCCCATCTATTCTCTGCCTCCCATTGAGTCCCAGCTGATCGGCTGGGTCTCCTTTGATTGCCCTGCACAGGAGAAAGGAGCTGGAAAGCAGGTTAGTGGGGTGGGGAGGGAAGGGGGATTTTACAGTATCCTTCCCTGCCATGCCCACCACACCAAACCACACCCACCAAGTCATGCCCACAGTTATCAAAATTTGAATCACACCACTGCTATGGTCATGTGATTTACATTCAGATGCTTGGTAACGAACTCGTGTTTATGACAGCTGCAGTGCTCTGGACATATTTTGCAACCTTCTGAGAAGCCAAGTCAGTGGGGAAGCCAGATTTACTTAAAAATCGTATTACTAATTTAATAACTGCAGGGATTCACTCGACAAAAGTGGCAAGAAAAGTCGTAAAATGGGACAGATTCACTTACCCAATTTTTCACATGGCAATGTAAATTTTGGGCTCATCTGTGGTCATAAATTGAGGACTATATTGTAAATCTCACGTAGTCACGGCAACAGGTCCTTGGGAAGGAGTCGGTAGGCGAACAAAAATGCCAAATCCATTGCACAGTCAGCCAAATGTCTGAACATCTGGGTGACTATGCAATGAACTATAACCGTGCTACAGTGGGTATTGCAGAGCCATTTGTGTGGGCACGCGAGCCACAGCTAAACTTACCTGCACTGCACATGCCTCCTACTTGATTTTCGGCTCGTTTCACCCTGCTGGAGGCT